CCCTGCGAAGGCAGGCTGTTCGGGTTTAGGTTTTAGGGTTTAGGGCTTGGGGTTTAGGGTTCAGGGTTTAGGGTTTAGGGTTTGGGGTTTGGGGTTCAGGGTGGGGCAGCTTCTGCATGTGCTTGTTCGTGGTGAGTAGGACAAGTCTTAGCCCACGAGTCCAGACAACTCTCCACAAGATGTCTGTGCCGCAGCGATCTGTATAGGTTTAGGGTTTAGGGTATAGCTTCATATGATCGATCAGACAGTTTGCTTGGCTGCCAGCATCTGTCAACGAGGATCCCATAGTATTCCACGTCCGCGCCCCGCTTGCGTGCTTTCATTGGATCCCACAACCCACCTCGACAAAAACTCAATACCTTAAAGCCAACAGATATCCGAATAGCCAAAGCCGAAGCAAACCTTAAATCCTACATCCTAACTTAAATCCTCAGCAAACCTCCTGAACCCTAAATCTCAAAGCCAATGCACAGCCCTCTGAAACCCAGAGAAACAAAGCCTTGAGGCAAGAGGCGAGAGTTCAGCTGCGAGAGGAGCTCCAATGTCTTGGTTTCGATTGAAAGCGGATCGCACTCCTGCTTAGGATGCTCTTTACGGCTCTAGGGCCTAGTGCATGTCCAAAGTGTCCAAAGTGTCTCTGTATATATATATATATGATATGTACGTATGTACACACACACATATCATATAAATCTGCACATGCATATGTGTGTACAGTCTGTCTGTCTCTCTCTCTCTCTCTCTCTGTCTCTGTACGTGTATCAGCATGCTAGGTACCGGTAAATAGATACATATGTATGTATGCATGTATGTATGTATGTATGTATGTATGTATGTATGTATGTGTATATATACATACACACACGCACTCGGCTATCGTATGTTAAGCAGTCTCGAAGTGTAGACAGGACAAGCCAAGCCGAAGCAAGACCAAGCAACTTTAAGCCTATAAGCCTTGTCAAAGAGCGGAGCTTGTCTAGCACAAAACCCTGTGCAACAGAAGGCTCTGTGCTGTCTAACAGTAGACCCTGTGCAACAGGAGTTTGTCTCGAATCCAAAAAAAAGGTGTAAAGTCTCGTCAACATACTGTACCCGGACACCCATACATACGTACATGCATTATATATTAAATATGCACATACATGTACACGTAATATGCCGCGATATGCATGTATGTATGTGTATATATATATATATATCTATCTATGTATACAAAAATATATATCTATATATATATATATATATATCGTATCTACATATGGAGATGGAGAGCGGGAGAGAGAGTGCGAGAGACAGAGAAGAAGAGAGAGAGAGAGAGAGATAGATAAGGAGAGTGAGTAGAGAGAGAGACAGCGAGAGACTTGCCTAGAGATGCAAGTCGACAGAAAGTTTAGGCGCTAGGGCTTGCACATACATAAATAAAACCTTGGAACCCAAATCCAAAAACAAAACAATACTTAGACAGCTTAGATATAATATATATATATATATATATAGGTATGTAGTGTATATGGGTATGGAGATGAGAGTTTGTAGAATGCACTATCTGCTTTTAAGCGCTGAGAGCACAACGACCTTTGATGCCCAAGAAGGAATAATCTCGGGGTGGTCGGGAAGGGGGTGCTGATCCGATAATCACGTAAAGTTTCGCCGGCCTTACGGGAAGACCGGGATTTGCTTTGGGTTGCAAAAGTGGATCAATACTGTAAAGACACTGTGAAGCTCCTATCACTATTCACTTATCATTGAAAACACATGCGTTCTCGGTGTTTGACGGAAGATGATGTCGGGCTAGTTTGTCTTTCACAGGCGTTGATGACTCTATGATTCTCTGACAGACGAGAATTCTATGCGCCCTCGCAAACCTCAAGACTGCAGGCATAATTCTCCTGCGTACCGTTAGACTGGCATGGGCTTCGGCTGAGGCTCTAGCATTCAACAGCGTTTGAACATCACGGGGAAGAAAGTGGGCTCAGGACTTGAGTGCAGTCCAGGGCACCCGCAGGTGGAGACACGATCAACTTGAGTGAAGACGGCAGATTTGACATCAGTTCGCCTAAGGCACTGCTAATGACGTCAGGGATCAGGATAATGAACCGGCGGCCAATAAAACTAGCAGAAGCATCCATGATGTGAAGATGTCGCAATTTCCCAAACCTACGAAGCAACCCGAGCCAATACTGTTTCTTCATCAACACTCTACCCACCAAGAAGATTGCATCAGACTACAGGGGCCTTCGTACGAAGACTTTCTCAGGTCTACTGTATATTCACACTAAACCCTAAACCTTAAAACAGCGTTAGCCTAAGTTTAAAGGCAACGCTGTCCTGGCTCGTCATCTTGAAGGCGCTGAAGAACCGCGCTAAGGGCTCCCGCACAACGCAGAAATTCGTGCAGCCAGGCTCCTACGGGGCTGGGCTCCCTCCCGTCAGTTCTTGGTTTAGGGTTTAGGGTTTAGGGTTTAGGGTTTAGGGTTTAGGGTTTAGGGTTAAGTTAAGGTTTTAGGGTTTAGGGTTTAGGGTTTATGTAGACGCCTTAGTAATGAGAATAGGATTTGGGGGGTATATATTAGACTATAACTATAATAAGGAACCCCCGCAATAGTATTGGTAATGATTTCGGCTCCTATATTAGGGGGAAGGGTTTATATCGAATGCCTCTAAAGGTGCAATCGAATTAGGGTTTAGGGCTTAAGGCTTGTACCTGGTTGATTCTGCTCCATGCCAATCATACCGCATTGCCTTTTCAAGGATTAACCATCGACCACGACCACCACTAGCAGTCTTGCTACACTACTGCTACTGCTATTGCTACTGCTGCTGCTACCGCTGCTGCTACTGCGATTACTACTACTACTACTAC